CAGTGCATTCTCCCAACTTTGGTTTAGTGTAATTGCATGTTCAGAGGCTTAGAGCTCCCCCGCTGTTCCCTTGGCTCAATTGACCTCTTCCTGGCAAGAAGCTTTCCCAGTTATCATTAATTTTCCTTTATCATCATCCAACTGCTCCAAATTACACCTCCACTGACCAACCCGCTAAATAATCCTTTTGCCTTCTTAGCCCTGGGGACTTGCAGACAGTTTTGTCTCCAAGTTATGGAGTGCTCTTGCTTTCCTCACAAATGCATATCTCCAGCTCCTAATTCCGTAATTGCTCTTCTCTGAATTTCACATACCTTTTGGCTACAGTGGTGCCCAACCCCCAATAACTTTCCTGTGTGGAGTGACATCTAGAGCCCTATTGCCCAGTGTGGCAGTGCACCTTTGGTGCTTGCCACTTTAAGGGCTGGAGCAGGGAGCAGCCAGGTCGATGATGAGGGTGGTCGTTTTCAGACACAGGCCAGCTGTACAAAGCCAGTAGTTTATTGCTTGCAGAGGAGGCAGCAACATCAGCTGGCTAAACTACTGCTCATGAAACTTTTGGAGGTAAGGGCAGGAGCTAGAGGGATGGCTTGGAGGCTCCTGGTCCTGGGTAAGACCTAAAATTGCACCCTGCTGGGAATGGGTGGCCTGGTGGGGCTCCTGGTGGTATGGGAGCCCCCAGGAAATGCCAGGCCAGTTACCTCCCTGTGAAAGGTGAGTATGGGGTGCCTCCTAACTCCAGCCCCACATCCCTGGTGGAACTGAGATTGTACAGGGGGAACCCAGGCTTGTTAGGAGCTCTGAGGCATAGCCCAGGCCAAAGGAGGAACCTGGGGCTCACCCAGGCAGCTAGGTAAAGCCTGGGGGCATAGCAGGAGCCAAGTAGGAGGCTCCAGAGTGGGGGTGAGGGACCCAGCCCCAGTGAGTGGGCGGGAGTAGAGGCCCTGAGAGGAGGAGAGAGTCTGGTGTAAGGATGCCTGGTGAGGGGTACAAGGGGAGGAGTTAGCCCCCTGTCTGGAGAAGGGCCTGACCCGGTGCAGATGAGGGTAGTGGGAAATGCCCAAAAGGCTGCATGCTGGTCAGCCACAGAGTGGAAGCAACAAAGCCTGGTGGCCTAGGGGAGCCACTCCAAAGGGGAGCAGGGCAGTAGAGTGGGTGATGGATGAGAGAGACCCTGTGAGAGAGGGTGGAGTGTTAGAGGCCCTCGTGATGGGGGGCGGTATGAGTGTGGCCTGTGAGGGAAGTGTGCAAGAGTCCTAACAGAGGACCAAGTCCAACTCGGCCGGAGCATGAGTAAGAACTGGAGATGTCATCTGTGAGGCATGGGACACGTGTGAGGGTAGGTCAGAGGGTGTACTAAGACCCTGGTGATTAAGAGGGCAAGAAAATGGGTAGCCTCCTGCTTAAAAACTGAACTTTGTTTACATCAAGGCATGGGAGGAGAGTGAAGTGGGCAGCCCAGAGACAGGGGAGGACTGGAGGCAGAGACCAGGCTGGCAAGGTACCCCTGTTACACCTAGCAATGGGACAGAACCCCAGACCTCTGTCCCAGATTGGTACTCCATAGGACCTGTTATTTGCACACTATTCAGAAGCTCCATTGAATTGGACTATGGGGTGAAGTTAGTAGTGGGAAGCACAATCCAATCCAAAGCAGATAGTAGATCCATGAAGCGTGCCCAGCCATAGTTGTGCCCTGCCTTCTGCAATCTGAGTTAATGGGGTTGCTTTCTGCATGCACCCAGCAGCTGCTTCCCTGGTGTCAGAGCAGGGTAAAACTAGTTTGGTTAGCAGAGATCTAGTGTTAGTCAGGGACATGGAGCACAGCTGGGGTGACCCACAGGAGCTGTGTAGAGACAAAAAAGACACAGAAGGATCTCCTCCAACATCCAATATGTGCTAGTTTAGGGGTCATATTTTAGCCTGGGCTGTGGCAAGGGTCAGAGTATTCTCCCTCCCCTCTCCTGGTACAGGGGTTCAAAGGAAGTACTGTGACCTGGCTGAGACTGAAGTGAGGGGGTGTATTGTCCATGGTAAGAGCAGCCTCCTTGCCCATCAGGAGGGACAGGCTGACCCAGGCCAGGGAATGCATTCCCATGCTTTCTGCTTGGTCACTCATGTTAATCTCCTGTTGGAATCATTTTGCCTGGGGAAAAGGCCTTGCCAGCTGCAGCAATGTCTCTCCTGCTGAGTCACTGCCTCACTCGCAGGCCACTAGCAGCTGCTTTCGACTGGTGAGCCGATAGGGCAAGGCACCTTCAAAAGTTCTGTGGGTAGCCATGACATTGGGAATGCAAGTTCTAAGGCAGTGCTTCTCAAAGTGGTGGTCTGCAGCGAGTTGCCAGGAAAGAAAGAAATATGTTTTCAGAAGCATAACATTGATATGTCATAGCACCACAGTTCGTACGTTCCAACACTCCAGGTGACGTCACGTTGTGCGAGGTGAGGAAAGAGAAAGAACCAGCCGGTTGCGCATTTGTGTAGCACTGTTACATGCAGTTTCTGCCACCGGCTGAACCGGGCACCGGTCCCTGACCCGCTGGAAAAAAAATTGCTGGTCCACCACATCAGATAGTTTGAGAAGCACTATTCTAAGGCACCACAAAAGGCATCTCATGAGGGGCTGACTGGAAGATCTGGTTTGTGCATACAAGGCAGGCTATCTGTCAAAGTGAAACACCGAACATCTCTCTCTATAGCTGCCCATAGCGTGCGTTTGTGAACATATCTCCATGTCTCTTTCCCAGAGAGATTTGTGTCTGTCCCTGTGCTCCCTGTAAAGGTATTCATCACCATGATATCTGAGTTCTTATGGGCTCCCATATCTGTGCGTGCATGTGTGTGTACACATACACACTGTATGGTGTGTAAGCTCACATCCTGCTTCCTGCCCCTGTCCCAGGGAAGCAGCTGACATGGAAATGCTCTTCCTGTCTGGGAAGGATGCATTGCTTTGGATTTCTTTTCTTAACTGTTACCTCTGACCCTAGATGAGGAATGGCCAGAAGTGGAGAAGGCTGAGAAGCTGGCAAGAGGAGCTGCCTTGAAATGGGCTTCTGGGGTATTTTACCACCCAGACAAGTTGGAGGGTCTTGGGCACTATTGGAGGCGGGAGACGCAGCGGAACAACTCCATCCAATCCCGGCTAAAGGTGGGTGTTTCTTTCAGGGTGTCTGAGGGCTGCAGGGCACACAGAAGTGAGACCTTCCACCCCTCCAGCTTGATGCTTCTTGTTTTACTAACACTCGACCTCAGGGCCCAGTGTGCCACTGCCTAACACTAAATCACATTCATGCTTAATCAGTTGTCTTCACACTGGCCAGCATTAGACAGGGGAGGTTATAAGTATTAAACCTACTTTGGGCTTAGAGAACATAAAACACTGCTAGATCCATCCAAAGCATGAAAACACATCATGAAATCAAAGTCAGATTTTCTTTAAATGTACCTGAGGTGTGAGGCAGGGTCAGGGTCAAAGTTAGGGTCTGACTCTTTCAGGTCAACTTGCTTTTAGGCTGAGAACAAGTGTGAGAAACCAAAGCCCCAAAGTTAGAGGTGTTTTTGGAAGGATGACTGGGGAGGGGGGAGCACAACTATGCCCACACTGTCCCCCATCACTGTAGCTGGAAAATAAACATCCCTGCCCAAATTTCAAAAGGAAAGCTAAAATGCAGATGCTTTCAATGTTTTAACACATCTCTATGTGCCCAGAGGCTAATTTGACTTAGCTGTTAGCTTGAGTGTTGTTCCTCTGACCACTCTGAAAAGCTGAGCTCTGCCTTTCTATGTGGTTGAGGGAAAAAAAGCTTGTATTATCCAATGAGCATCCACTGTCTCTACCAGCACGTCACCAGAACTGCCCCAATTGGAGTTCTCACTGCTGCTGCCAGCAGTCCTGTCTACTCGGTGATGAATAGAAATGTTTGGATGTTCACAAAACTGAAGAGCAAAACACTGTTCTGACCCTTGTACTGAACATGTAATTTAACAGAATTGCAGTTCCTTTGAAAAATGATCAGCTCACACATAAAATAGTCACATGAATCACATGCAGCTGAAACCTTGCAACAAAGAAAGGATAGCAGGGATATAAAAGATTTTACAAAACCCTCAATATTCCTTGACAGGACGACCCCACCTGTTATTTAATGTGAATTTAAGACATATTAACCACTCTGATGCAGTGGCATCAGGGGACAGAGCAAATCCTGTACCCAGGCTGTGGGTGAGGCTGCTGAGTGTGTTGTGTCTGATGATCAAGCAGTCCTGTGTTATCTCAGGGTGACACAGATGTCATCCTTCTAGCTTTAGTTTCAATTACTCATTTTTCTTAACAGTATTTGCTAGATTGAAATGTGGGAGGGTTGCTTTTAAGGAGTCAGTTTGAAATTATATGGAGTTGGGAGAATCACTTGTTTCCTTTAACATTCTGTAAAGATGCACCTCTGCATTCAGATCCAGAGGTCAAATAGATAAAGCAGGAAATGAAATACAGTACCATCCTTCTGACTGTTGTCCAAGCTGTAGGTGCCTGGGGATAAGGAATCGCACCATCTTGTGGTGATGATGCAGCAAGTAGAATACACTGAAAATCTCTTTCTCTCTCTCTTTCCCATGTGGGATCTGCAGGGGATACCAGAAAACATGCTTCCAAAGGAGTTCTTGACCTCAAGCAGCAGCAGCCCCATAGCTGGCCTAGTACAAGGGTGTATATGTCTGTGGGCATGGAAATGTTCTTGCAGGCAGTGAAGTGGGGTGCCATTCCTACCTCTGTTTCTATCAATGCCACCTTTTTGACTTGCCTAGCATGGGGAATCTGTGCTCTATCAAACCAATTATGAATAATACGTTTTCCGAATAGCTGGTGGCCTTTCCTGTAGAACATGTTTAAATACCTAATGCATGGTCTGAATTTGAAAATATTTTAAAACATTTCAGACAAGAGATCATGTAGAACAAGTATGCATTGGGTATCATCTACCTGCTGCTTACACTGGCACAGCAACCCCCAAATTTGCATAATACATACATATACAAATACACATGCCTGTTACCCAACACTCGGACTCCTTGGTATTCCCACACAAACATACCTGACCATCCACATTACAGCAGTTGGGTCCACACATCTGTTACCTTCCCTCTAACATTAATGCCACTATCCCCATACAAACATGCTCTTTTCTCCTTAGTATCGTGTCCCTCCCCAGTCATAGACAAGTAGAGCCAGAGGGGAGGTCAGCTAATCCCCTCTCCTGCCCGAGGCAGGATTATCCGTATCCAAACTAACCCTTATAAATCATTGTCTAACCTATTTAAAAAACTACACTATAACAATCAGTGCTGCACAACTGAAAGGCACAGCATCTAACCTGCCACAGGTAAAACAGGGGGCAACAGTGATCAGCGTCCTACTGCTGTAAGCATTGTTAAAATATTATGGCCAGGTTCAGTACTCAGATGCACTCTTCCCTCCCTACAGTATCCCTACATAAATTACCTCCCTTCCCAAGGTTTGATGGCTACACATAGAATCATATAATGGAAAGCAAGCTCAAGGATAACTTGATCCAGCCCCTATGTGAATGCAGGAATTCTCCCTACCAAAACATGTCTTCCCTTCCCCACCCCTCATCCCTTTATGGACTATTATCCCCACCAAAATCTGCTCTTTCTTCCAGTGTTGCAGAAGCGCTGTGTTGTTCACCCTCCAGCTGTACCCTTCAACCCAGAAGTGTGGCTGCATATGTGCACCTCTTCCTCTGCAGCACTCCCTTCTGCTCTGCACTGACCTTCTCTGGTCTCCTCCTTCAGACCTGTTTTGGACTCTTCTTGAAGTTGTCTCACCTCCTGTCTTTGCCACTTACCCTGATAGCTGCTACCAGCCAGTCTTAACAGGAGAGCCAGCTCACAGTTCAAGGCTGGGCAGGTCTTCTGTCCTTCAGCAACTTATCCCTGCTGCCCTGTGCCATCTAGGCATATCAGTGATATACCTGGGAGATAATATTCCCATTGTGATTTTAGTTTCCCTAGATCAGGGGTCCCCTGGCTAAGGACTATGTGGAACCAGAGGACCATATAAGGGGTGTGTGAGTCATGGGAGTGTGGGGGTTATCTGTCTCTGTATTTGACTCTTGGGGGTCTGGATGAGCTGTGTGTAAGGACATGGATATAGGGGAATGCAAAAAGCTGAGGTTACTTTGGGATTAGGGGCAGTGTGTGAGAGGTATGGATATGGTAAAGGGAGTGTATTTTTGTGGGGAACAGGTGTGCAAGCAAGATTCAAGGAATGTGCTTGGGTATAGGGAGGCATGGATGGCATTTGGAGGTCTGAGGAAGGCTGTGGTGGGGGGGAGGTGTTTGCTGAGCTGTGCTTAGCTGTGCTTAGGGCTAGTTTTCACCTCCAGAATCTTGGTAGCTATTGCACTTCGTCACTGCTTCTTGCCTTTTCTCTGTCTTGACAGTCGACTGTCCAGTCCTACCTGGAGGGGGTAAGTGCAGGCCTGGAACAGCTGTGCATGGCTACTGATGAAGTGCAGAGCGTGTGTCAAGATCTGGGGACAGTGCAGTGGAACCTCTTGGGCAGTGCTGAGTGTTTCCAAAACCTTGAGCAGCTGCGAGCTGTGGTGACAGACCATGTGCAGCTGGGCTTGGTGGTGCAGTCTCTTCCTCAGCTGGTCTCAGGTAAGAAGCTCTGGCCTAGCCCTTTAAGAGTTCACTGGGGGTCCAGAGTGGCATGGCACCATGGTTAGGCCAGGGTAATTAACCCTCCCTAAGCCCTCAGCATGGGTAGAGAAGTCAGCACCAGGGTAGGTGCCCAAGCCCACAGTGATGGTCCCCGGTGGACAAGTTGGAGGGGATGGCCCACGAGTGTGTCTCAGCCAGAATCCATCCACATATCTGGAAATCCTCCACAGCCTTTTTGTCAAAGACTTTTTTCAGTCCGAGTCTTCTTTCACCTTCCACCAAAACACAACATCACCCCCTTAGCATGGCCAAGCTGCATTAGTCATGTGCTCTCCCTTGCCCCTGTGAGAAAAAGTAGGGGCAACATGAATAAATGCAGGCAAGAGACCATAGGGAGTGTCCTACTGTGGGGCTGGTGGCTTTCCTCTCCCAGTAATGTGTTTCTGTGATCTTCACCATCTTTCTGCTGCCTTCAGGTCAGGTCAGGTCAGCCCTCCCTCACCTCACCATTGAGCAATTACTGACCTAATCCTTTGTTTTCATTTCCCAGGGTAGCTATGCCACCTGGCGCTTGGTGGCTTGCAACCATGTTTTCAGGTGTTGGGTGTGTGGAATAGAGGCCTTGCAGCGGGATTCCTAGAGCAGCTTTTCTCAAGCCAAGGGTTGTGACCCAAAAGTGGGTCACACAAAAGAACCCATGGGTCATGAACAAACTTTAGAAATGGATCAAAAGGAAATGCAAAACCCTGGAACTCAGTTCGGAGATGATACCTTTTTATTAGACCAACTAAGAAATTGCAAAAAAAATATTTTTCTGAAAGCTTTTGGGTACACACATCTAAAAGCTTGCAGAAAAAAATAATTTTTTGGTGACCTCTTAGTTGGTCTAATAAAAGTTATCATCTCTGAGCCAAGAGTTCTAGAGTTTTGCATTTCTTTTTGTCTCAGACCAACATGGCTACCAAATACACCGCTGAAAATTATATCAACAAACTTTAAAAATGGATTCTCCTTTAAAGGACAAAAACATGGGAAATGGTAGCTTTTCCCTTGCAGAATGGCAGAGTTTCAGCCTGCAAGGGACTGCTTGGGGCTTTCCATGCCCCCCCCACCCCACCCCACCCCACCCACACACACACTGGTCTGGGGGCAGGGGGCAGCAGGTTGGTAGAGAGGAGCACTGAGTTGGGATTGGCCATCCATGTTTACAAATGAGTGCTGGTACAAAAAAGGGTGAGAACCACTGTCCTAGAAGACTTGGGTGCTCCACAGGGGACTTGTGCTTCTGGGACTGGAGGAACAAAACAGCCACAAAAGCATGAGTAGTGGGATCATCTTTGGGGTCTAGTTTAAGATGCTGGGAACCTGATTATCAGAGGTGTAGGCATTCACAATGCTGGTGAGAACTGCAGCTTTTATGGAAAACTAATGCAAGTTGGGGCCTCTCAATGGGAAGATGGGGGCACTGGTCATGGAGTGTGAGTAGTGAGGTTCATGGTACTATCTTAAACTTAGGTTCTTTTTCATAAGGTATCAAATAAGATTCCACCTCTTGTGGCTGGTCATAAAGACACTCTCCCTCCTTTGACCAGCTGTGAATTAGCTAATGTTGCTCACCTGGTTCCCATGACACACTTACCTATTCCTAGGTGTGCTTATTGCCCCTGTTTTGGGTCTCTCTCCACTGCCTATGCTAAGCCTAGGATGCTTCTGTTGCCCTGAGCCCAAGCTCTCATGGATAGTCCCTGCTGCCATCACGCATAGGGCCATCAGGCTCCTCCCTGTGTTATTCAGACTCTTGTATCTCTCCCCTTCTCTGCAGTACATGAGCTCCTTTCTCAGACCCTCCATCTCCTTCATGATCAGCATCTCCTGGAAGCCCATGCTGGGCTCATGGTCCTAGAGCGTCTTCGTGATAATACCCTCTCCCAGCTGCATCACAGCGACCTCTTGAATGCCCAGGATCTGGACATTGTGGAGTCCTACTTCAGTGGCCTGCAGAAGGTGAATGAGGAGCTGACCCGGCAGCTGTGGAATATCATTGGCAGGAGCATGAAGCTTGTACATGAGGACCCAGCCCTCTTTGTCTCTGCTGTGCGGATTATTGAGAGAGAAGAGAACATTGATGCCCTGTTCCTGGACACCCGCTCCCACCACTTCCTTCCCCCAGGACGCCCCAAAAGTTGGAGGCAGAAGTTCTACCAGGTCCTTCAGGAAACCATCACTGTTGCCCATTTTCAGGCCAGTCATGCAGACATGAAGGGCCCGGGGATGGCTAGGCACCTAGCTGCTCTGCAGAGCAACATCCTGGCAGAGCTGTGTGTGGTGAAGGACCTGATGGTGCAGTGCTGTCCTGTGCACTACAATATCGTGAATGTCTGCACCATCATGTACCATCAGGGCCTGTCCAGTCACCTGCAGGACATCCTCAGTTGGGACCTAGACAAACAAGAGATCTTCATCGTCCTTGACTGGGTTCTGCATGTGTACCACAGGTCAATGCCTGCCAGAGGGCAACCTGTATATAAATGTGCATGTGTATGTGTATATGTGCATGTGCATGCATGTGTATATGTGTGGAGCTGGAAAGCAATGACATTTTGTGTGTGTGTGCGTGCTTGCATGTGTGTGTGCATGTGAAGAGTCCTCCTCTGGAGCAAGAGAGTCACATGTTTGTGTGCATTGGTCCCTTAAGTAAAAGCTACCCCTCCTCTTGGAGCACATTCACTGACTCCCCTTCTCCTTTCTTTCAGCCCAGAAATGATGAGTCACCCTGACCTTCTTCCTGAGGTGGATGTATCAACTCTGGGCCCCCTGGTCCCTCCTGAGGTGGTGGATCACATGGAGAGGAAATACGTGGTGAAAGTCAGAGTGAGTGAGCTGGGGCATGACGTGCTGGAAAGACTCCTGTGGAGGGCTGGAGCAACTGATATAGGGGGTAGGAGTTGATTTTTCTGAGGGCCCAGCAAACAGCTACAAAATCCTGTATGTTCCACAGGGCTCCTCTGGTCCTGTTTGTTCTCACTCTGCCCGTGCTGGGGTTTTAGGCATGGTGGGCCAGCAGGAGCCTGCTCTGCCACAAGTCTTACTGCTAAGAGCTTCTTCCTAACATTCACACCTGTTTTTATCTTTTAATTTCTTCTGTGATCTCCTGCAGGCACAGACCCCTCTAGTGTTGTGGCTGTGATCTGACTCAGGACATGTTGATTAAAAAAGTGCATTGAAACAAAAGGGCTTATAAGGTCTCAAAATGTCAGGGCATGCGGGGGACAGTCCTAGGGCCCTAGAAAATAATTAACAGTATCATGCCTCAGACTAATCTCTGCAGAATCCCAGGAGTAACAAGTTCATCACATGATGATTTCTTATAGACAACCCCAAAGAGGAGGAAAATAACACTTCAAGTGCTGTCAGGTAGCCAGGTCTTAATCTTTTTGAAAGGTGCCTTAGTAGCAGTGAGAGGTGCAGAGCTTCATGTAGGACTAAGTCAAACACTATACAAAAGTGTGAGCATATTGCATGTCATGTGCACTGTAACTATGAGGTTTTCAGGGGAAAAAAGCAAACCTGAGAATCCTCAGAGTCAAACTAAACCCCTTGGACCCTACCTGCCAGCACAGTGGCTTAGATTGCAGTGATGGGTCACCACAATAAGCTTCCACATACAAGTGGGTTTGGGGAGAGATATGGCAGTGGAGAGAGAGTTGGCTACATAGTCAGAAGATAGCCCCATGGCCCCAACAGCCTACAGATGGTAGCACCAGGACCATGCTTGATTGGATCTGAGTATATGGGAAAGCACCCTCTGCAGAAAGTCCCTACACAAGGTGCACAAAGTGCTATCTGATGGCTTGGAACTGTCCAGTACAGGTTAGATCTCGGGGCTGAGAATGAGAACCTTTGGGCTTTACTGATATCTCTGCAAGACTTAATAGGTGACTGGATAAGGCAACTAACACCCGTGTGTCTGTTTCCCCTTTTGTAAATATTGGTAAATTAGGACAATACCTACCTCTGGGAGCTATGAAGCATTTGCTTCCACAGAGTAGAGGCTGCCAGCATTCAGTACTGCCCTATGCTCATCACCCCCTGGCAGAACAGGGATACATCATTCCTAGAATTCAAATGCTGGGAAACTACAAGATAAGGTGATGCTTCTTATGTGGCCTAGACACACCACCTTAACTTTGCCCCTCCTTTACTCTGCAGTATTGCTGACCCTTTCCCCTCTTCCAGCCATTTGGAGCCCCATCCCCATTCACTGATCCTTGCTGCAGTTTAAAGGAAGTACATGGATACCAGGTCTGCCCCTCCCGTGAACTTCAGGAGGATTTTGGGGTTGTGGCAGGAGTGCTCTAGCTGTGGTGCAGAGAGGGGAAATTTTGTGGCTGTAAAGTTTAGATGTTGCAAAAATCAGCTTTAAATTCAAAGTTTAACACCAGACAGCAAACAAAGAGCCTTGAACTCATCAAGGCTTGCAGCTCCTGGCTTGCAGCTCTGCACTTCTACAGTCTGTGAGAGGGGTAGGAGTCTGTAAGCAGTACTGATAGTCACTTTCTCCCGCACAGCACACACCACTCCTTAGAACTAGTAGAGGAGTCTGATAACTGAGTTAGCAGGTTTTGGAGCTGGTTCTTGGGTCCAGAAGCTGAATCCCTATAGAGACAGTCCAAAGGCCTCAGTTTTATAGATATCCTGCCTGTAGTCTTCCATCTCTTAAAAAGGGGTTTACAAGAAAGAAATTAAAAAATCTAGAACTCTTGGTTCAGAAATGATACCTTTTTATTAGACCAACTAGGAAATTGCAAAAAATTATCTTTTTCTGCAAGCTTTCAGGCTCAAATGCCCTTCATCAGGCTCTGGGAAAATTAAATATGGTAAAAAGTCACCATAGGTAGGAAACAAACTTCATTTTTTCACAGAGGGGGCTGAAGATGGAAGTCTGTCCCTCTGGGTCCATGTGAGTGTCTCTGTGAGTTGTTTTGCATTGCTCTTTGTTGTATAGATCAGGTAGGATTCCTTCCCTGAAGGTGTCAGATGGCAAGCAGGGAAGTTTAAAAATCTTTCTTCTGCAGTGAAGTTTAAAATCCAAAATCGGCTAAAATTTGGCATCTTCTATGTTTCAGAAATGTATTTACAAGTAAGATGCGTTTAGGTCATTTGGGGAGAAAAGTGGGCCGGATTATATCTCAAGAACACCGTGACTAAATACTTCTGAATTCCCACTAGTGCTTCTACCTGAATTTCTGCAGGAGCAGGCGCATCTTCATGCTCATCTGACTAGGCAGGTGGATTTTACAGTTGTTTAAAATTTTGGCTTTGAACTGAAACACTTCAGCTGCAGTGTGCCTCACAGTCGGGCCAGAATGATTTGGCTCCATCAGACTCAGGCAAGAGCCACTCTGAAGAGCAGGGTCAAGTCTTGGCTGTCTGTCCTTCTGTCATTCAGGGTAATATGACTGAGTGGATGCAAAGGACACTTGAGGTGGAATACAAAGAGTGGTTCAGGGAAGAGGAACCAGAAATGGATCATCAGGGCTTCTTCCAGTCTGCCTTGCCAGTCATTATCATGCAGGTAGGACCAGCAGGTGACCAGACATGCCTGCACACTGCAGGGAGAGTGCTGCATAAGTGTAGCTGAGTGGGGCAGACAGATCTTGGCCTCACTTCTTCCCTTCAAGGCCTTTCACACACAGTGAGGTCCTAAGTTCATCTCCACACAGGCATAGCTCGTTGTGTGACACACACAGCATGTTGTGCCTCTTCTATGAGTAGAGCTAGTCCTGTGCTCTTTGGGATCTGGGACCAAAACATGGGTAACACTGGAGCCACCCAGCACTATCCCCAGACCCAGGCCCTGGAGTTCCTGTTCCCAGGACTGCACTGTGCTGTCTCTGGGCATTCTGCCAGGCATGGGTCTGTGACTGGCTCTGGGCTCCAAATAGAGCGTACCTCTTCCTTCCCACCTTGGCTATGCCTCTGATCCCCTGTGCAGAAGGATCATGCCTGTGGGGAGGAGGGTTCTCTTCTGCCCTCAGTGCTTGGGGTTTGCCTGGTTATTATGATGGCACTCCCTGGGCTTCTTAGAGCCAAGTTTCTTCTAAAAAATGTGAGCAGCATAATCCTGCCCTGCCTTCAGAGGGTCATTTGGGCACTGCCGCCTGGTCACAGGGCTGTCCAGAGAAAGTGTCTAGAGTGCTTGTCCATCCACCCCCACAGCTTTTCTATCTGCAAAGCCCTTCCCCTGCCCAACAGTCTACATGAGTGTGGGGTGGAGAAGGAGGAAAAGAAGTACAGTTGGCTAAGCAGAAGGCTGTGAAGTGACAGGGGTAGGGCCCTATACAGACCACAATGCCTGCCCTTCCCTGCCTGTCAGAGACTTCCTGTGGCCACACTCTTGTAGTAGCAGCAATTGGCACAGGCACTGGAGGCCAACAGAGTGAGATGAGGAAATCCAGAAGAGAGCTAGAGAAGCTGAGAAACAAAAATAAGAGCAAAGGAAGGATGCAGGGGGAAGAACAAGACTTTGTGAGAGCTCAAGAGATTAGTGGAGCAGAATGGGTGCATGGAGAGCTGAAGGGCAGGAGTTGGGAATAGGCCTCATGCTAGGTCTGCCTCACGGCACTGCCAGGAGCACATGCTGCTGAGCTGTATAGACTAAAATGTACCACTACAGTTCCCTAAACCCCACCAACATTGGCAAGGAGCTCAGCCAGGCATTAGGGGAGCCCATGGCTAGGGCAGACCTGTGCTCTCCTGCCAGCTGCTCCAAGGCACTGTCACTGCAGAATCCCCCTCCTGGAAGGGAATGGGCAGACCAAGCATGCTATGTCCAGAGCTTGCTGCTTCCTACCTGTCACTGGGTGCTATCCAGGGGGTGAGGCCTGCTTGCTCCAGGGGCATGGTGTCCAAGGAGCGCATCTGCAGTTCCCGCATCTGCCTGTTGCCACCATCTGAGGCACTAACTCAGCTTCTCTCCTTGCCCAGATGCTGAATGAGAATATCCGGGTGGCCTCTCTGATCACAGACTCTCTCCAGCAGAAGGTTTACACCATGGCCATGGATGAGCTGGAGACCTTCCTGGCCAGGTCAGTAGCATCCTTGAAGTGCCTGCCCCCCTCACCCTTCCCCCCTGCATAATCCCTGTCCCTTCTTCCCCAAGCTCTCTGACACCTGGGATTCTAGGACCTCCATGCAGATACCTCCTGGGGCTGCAGCTAGGGTGGGATGGGCCCCCACAGCACATTTATCAGTGCTTGGGCCATTCCAGGGTCCAAGAACTTGGGTGTTGGGATCCTCCATTTGAAACAGTTTCTGGCACATCTTGGTAGTACACAGCTTCTGGGTATTCAGCCTGCCTGGGCTATGTGGGGCACAGCAGGGCACATGAGGAGGTAGGCTATCAGGCCGACCTTTAGCCCTCTTGTAACCTGCCTATTCATTCTCTGGCATGGTGAAGACAAGAATGGAAGCACCTGAGACAATAGGGGTTCAGTCCGTACTTGGCCCACAGAGTGCCCTCTTTGGGTTGGACCTGGTGGGAGGCAGTATTACATGGAAGCAGCTCTGCAGTGCTGGCTGTGTGGGATGGGGCACTGGGTGTCTGCCTTTCTGCTGTCCTCGCCCCACCACATGTGTAGATGCTTTGCACTGTGCTGCTGGGAACATTGAGGCAACAGCAGCATGGAGCAGAAGAGCATGGATGGGCAAGTGCCAGGCTGTACCATGGTATGTGAGAAGCGAGCATGTGGCTCACAAAGCTAGGTTCAGGGCCCCTGAGCCTTGGCCCTGAGGAAAGGCTGCCTCTGACATCCAAGGTAGTTCTCCTGTCCTTTTTGGCCCTGTCTGCTGTGCCACAGGTTGCGAGAGGCCCTGGTGGAGTATGGGAAGGAGCACCAGCGAGACCGGGCCAAACCTAAGTATTATGTCCCCTACCTCCTGGCTGTGCTCAACAACAACATGGTGCTCAGGTAATTGTACAAGATTCATTTCTCCATCCGGAGCATCACCCCCAGCAAGGCCTGGGTCCCACTGCTTCTCCAGCACTCCCCCATCCCCCATCTTGGTCATGAACCTCCTCACCCTTTCCCAACTCTTCTGTCCCCCTAACTGAGCCAAATTTCTTTCCCTTGTCTAGAGCCCTCCCATGGCCCATCCTCCCCTTTTGCCAGGGCCTCCCCAACACATCTTCATAGATTTCACAGACATTAGGGCTGGAAGGGACCTTGTAAGATCTGCATTGTGCTGAGTCTGTCTGCCCCCTCCTAGAACAACCCCCACCCCGGCTGCTTGCTCCAGCTATACATTTCCCTCTTCTTTCTTCCAGCTCCTCCATCTGCTCTCTGCACCCCAATGGTGACTTGCTATCTGAACCCAGGGAGATCCCTACCTCCCTTAAGGCAGCACTGGACAGGACCCAGAAGAAAGCTTGCCAGCTGTTGCTGGAGGAGCTGCTGGTGGATCTACAGGTATGGGCATCTGAGCATGCCATGGACTGCCACCCTAGCAGGGAGCAGAGCAGCTGGGCACACTGGGCCTGAGCCTGTGGTAGGCCCTGTTCAGGGAAGCTGCCTGCCTCTCTTCTCCAGCAGCCTGGAGCAGTCCCTTCCCCTCAGATGTGAAAAAAGAGGGTCATATACAGACAGGAAGAGCATAACCCTGCTCACAAGCCAGTGCCCACTCACATTGCCCAAATGCACATAGTAGCTGTGCTGGGCACACTGACACATTGACAGGCTAAAACTGCATCATCACCCACTATCACCCAGAGCACTCTTCCACCTGGCTGGCTCCTTTGCCCTGATAAACAGACCCAGTGTCACAGTGCGCTCTGATTAACATTAGCCCTGGCAATATCAACAAAGCACACGTCCAAGAGATTAAGACCTGGTTAACTGACAGATCTTAAAAGTGGTCATCAGTGGGAAGTGACTGAGTGAAGGGAGCTTCTAAGGGATTCTGCCATAGGCCAGACACTGTATAACGCCTTCCTCAATGATCTTGAAGTAGTTATAAAATCTCTGATGATAACATGGGTGTCAGGGTAGAAAGTAAATGGCTGAGGAGGGCTGGGTCACTTGGAAGCTGGGTCTGCCTAAACCCAATGCATTTTGATACAGTCCAGTGCAAAGTCCTAGCTTTATAGATCTAGCATGCAGGCCAAGCCTAGGGAATGGATACCTGTATCCCAGGACACAAGGACTGTGCAATGGACCTTGGGATCCCAACAAACAATTCACTCACCATGTGTTACTAGTGTAATGCTGAACCACAAGGAGCTAATGCCATCCTTGGCTATTTAGATAGGGGAGTAGTGAATGGATACCATGGCACACAGCACTGGTGAGTCTGATAGGGAAACACTAAGTGTTAGGATAGGAGCTCTGAGACACGTCCTCCTCCCTAGATCTTATGTGCAAACCAGGGGAGAGCAGAGTTGGTCTCCTTGCTCTGTCTGAGGTGAAAAACAAGTAGGGAAA